CTTTCTTCCGCATTTTCCTAACCTTTTCACAGCCATTGATCTGTTCACGCTTCAAAATTTGGACTGGATCGATTTTGTTAATTTTAAAATATTTATATGAAATAAAATAAAATAAGTTATAAAAAATTGTAAAATACTATAAAAAATTGTTAAAAATTATAAAAAGTTATAAAAAATTCAAAAATATTAAAAACTATTATATTAAATAAAATTATAAAAATTAAATAAAATTAGATAAAATTAAATAACATTAAATAAAATTAAGCAATATTAATTAAAATTAAATAAAATTTAGTAAAATAAGTTTATTTAACCATTTTTTAAAATTATCAAAAACATTAAATAAACAAAATATAGAATTTTTTAATTTTAGAAATATGGTGTATTATAGAAAATATTAACACTTTAGTAATAAAAAGACATAAAATGTAATTAACTTCTTTAATAATTTGTGAAGTCTCGTCGAATCTTTTAGATACATTCTCGAATTTATCATCATTTTTTCTAGAAGATTCTTCAATTTTTTTAGAAATATCTTCAATCATTTCCGAGACATTTTCAAATTTCTCATTCATTTTTGTTAAAACTGTTTCTTCTGCTGATTGAAACTGGAATGTCTCTGGGTCATCTCCATTCTTATTAAGAACATTCTTTAGTCGTTCTTGGAGGATCTTCTTTGACCCGCTGCAATCTTCATCGCGTTCTTCTAGTTGCTCACGCAACTGTTTTACTGAAAGTTGTACTAGCAGCATCTTTGGTCGGGCACACACGTACTTTTTAAAATGTTCTTTCGTACAACGATCACTACTGAACTACGCGGATGTTCTCGACGAACAATACTTTTCAAAAGTTCAAAAGTCTTTTTCAAAAGTCACTGTTGACAATTTTCAAATCTCACACCGTACACCAACTGTACCGTTTTTAAATAAAACGAGCGGTTCGAATTTATATAAATATATTTATTTATAACTTTACTGTTCGGTATTTTCTTATCAACTAAACTCACTCCTAAGATCGTTACATATATATACCTAAGTTACTATGTTCTAGAAAGTTCCCACCTCTAATTCGCGCACGTGACCGATTGTTCTCTTGCCTTCGAGAGTTCTGGTGATGATTCTCGAAGCGGTTTCGAGATGCAACCGTTACATGTGACATGCCGAAAGCATGTTCGTAACACTACGTATAGTAATAACACGCTGTAAGAAGTATGCACTTCTGTGGGCAATCCCCAAATCGACGATCTTTTTATTATTTTTTCTGTAAGCCTAATATAAACCTATAACTAGATGACAATGTACTACAATGACGTTACCTTTAACTATCATTCGTCCCGGCCTCCTCTTCTCGCAAAATTACCTTACACAAGATAATTACAAATAAAATTGAGTTGTGAAAATATTTTATTGTCATACATTTTATATCGCCCAATGATAAGATTTGACAGCAAATTTACCACAGAATAAAAAATTCAGCTCGGAGTTTCTAACAAGATTTAAATGGGACATTGAATCACAAGGCCTCTATATACTCCAGTCACTCTTATTATTCATCTCATAATTTTGTTGGAATAATTCACTTGAAATTTGGTGAGTTGATGGTAAAGAGCTCAAATAACAAAAGATATATAACGCTGATGTGTGCTTCCGCACCAGGGGTGGTTGCCATCCCTTCTCGGGGGTAGAAATTCTTTTGCTCAAAGTAGAAGAATCAGAAGAATCGATAGAGGATTAAATTCTAAGCAACTTTTGTTCTATTTTGAGCTATTTATGGTTGAAAACAGCAAAATTTCATTGAACAAGTCAAGTTTTTTAACGGGTTTTCATATATATTTAAAAAAATATACCTCTGATCGAAAAAGTATGCAAAACAAAAATTGAGATTATAAAAGAAGAATGAGATTCATTTTTTACAAGTTATTCTAGATAGTTACAATACAAAGTGAGTGGTCGGTGAAAGGAAACATTTTTAAGACTGCCTTAAACCCAGTCATTGGACGCTATTAGAAAAAAACAAGAATAGGTTTTATTCAAATACAAAAAACATTTTATAATACAAATAATTGGAAAAAAAGTACAAAAAAATGAAGTTAATCCTTTAAATGTTTTCGACTTTCTAAACTTGACTTACATGCTCCATACTCCGCCTAAAAAAACTTTTTAATATGTTTAAAACGTGTGCTAAATTTTGTTAAGATCGGTCGGATAGGTTTTGCATAATAATTTTGCAATCCAGCCTACTAAAAAAAATCGCAAATTTTCAAATTTATAGTATGCCCTAAATAAGGCCCTCAGATAGATGCAAATTTTTTTACATATAAAGGAAGGTTCAAACTTTCAAACGCTTTTTGTAAAATTCAAATCGGTTCACTAGGAGAGCCTAAAATTTTTTAAAATGTTTTAAACATTTTTTAGGCTTATAAACAAATTGAATAACTTTACGAGCTTAAACATATCAATTTCAAAATTTATACACTTGAAGACAATTAAAAGACGCTTCTTTAAAACAAAATAATTTTAAAAAATAAAAAAAAGCGCACTGTGAATGGCTCATATACAATGCCGATATAATTTTGCATCCGCTGCGTTTCCTTAGTGGCACTTTTTTCATTAAAAATTGTTGCTTCTTGCGATATATCATTATTTGTTGAAAACAATTGAACAATTTTGCTTTTTCTTTGATAAAAAAATGCAGAAATTTGAACTCGCCGATTCACATTTCGAGTGAATGTCCCCCACCACTACCTCTCATGCATTCCGAGCGACATTTTATGCGAAAACGGTTTTTTATTTGTCTTTTTTATGGATGTTGCCATAAAGCGCATTACGTAAAACTTTTCATATAAAAAGTACTTGACAAGACGAAGGCATTTGTTTAAAAACGAGCCCTCTATCACTTATAGTAACACGGCAAATGTATGCCAACTTTGACCTTCAATATCTCGGCAACCAGTAAGCCGAATGTATCTTTTTTTTTGAAGAAGCGTCTTTTAATGTTCTTTAAGTGTATAAATTTTAAAATTGATATGTTTAAAGCTCGTAAATATATTCAATTTGTTTATAAGCCTTCAAAATGTTTAAAACTTTAAAAAAATTTCTAGACTCTCCTAGTGAACCAATTTGAATTTTACAAAAAGCTTTTGAAAGTTTGAGCCTTTCTTTATATGTAAAAAAATTTGCAACTATCTGGGGGAATTATTTAGAGTCCACTATAAACTTGAAAATTTGCAATTTTTTTCCAGTAGGCTGGATTGCAAAATTATTACGCAAAACCTACGACCGATCTTAACAAAATTTAGCACACGTTTTAAACATATTAAAAAAGTTTTTCTAGGCGGAATATGGAGCTTGTAAGTCAAGTTTAGAAAGTCGAAAACATTTAAAGGATTAACTTCATTTTTTTGTACTTTTTTCCAATTATTGCTATTTTTCAACAATATACATTAAATTTTCAATTTCTAGCTAACGAAATATTGGGTAAAATTGAATAACGAAACTTTTATCTTCTTATAATTTTTTCTCTAGTATCAATATTTTCCGAATTATAAACGAAAATACGAGCAAAAAAATGAGAAATTTTCAATTGTTTTTAGATTTTTTTAAATAAAAAATTTAGCACAGGGTTTGCGACTGGCGCATATCGTGATTATCGATACTGGGCACATCCTGAAGGGATTCCAGCAAAAAAATAGCTTCCTATGGAAAATGTCCATTATGGTCTGAATTTCTACAAATCCCGTCTAGTCTAGTAGTGTATGATCGCGCGATCTGTCATTTCATTGCGTTTCTGTTGTGTTTATTTTTTCTTTACTATCCGCGGACCACCGCACCGATCAATTCATCCTGTCAATAGCCCGCAATAAGAAATTTATTCTCCCAACAATGATGCACCAGAAAATCGAAAATTTTGAAAGTGAATCCAAAAAATGAAAGTTATTGCGTTTCAAGGTGAACACACTATAAGAACAAAAATAGTAACCGATAATCATCCGCTGGAGCAAACGATTCTAAAAACAGCAGAAATACGAGATAAATCAATCAAGAGATCACCAAATCAACAGGAAAAATAAATGAGACAATCATCCAACCCAGAAATGCTTCAAAGAGGCAAATGTAATTTGCCTACCAAAAAATAAGTAAGAAAGTATTTTGGTTTGGTGGATCTGTATGAATTTATAACAAACACCTTTGATATTTGCCCTTAATAAACGCTGCAGCTGACATATAAACACAAAAAAAAATACTGATGAAATAGAATGGAAATAAATTACTAAACAAACAATTACAGAAACCAAAATCAATAACGAACAAAATAAAATAACCACGAATACATAATTAAACACTTTTAATTCAACATTTTAAGTCCACAGTTAGTAAACATGTTTTGACGCCATATTAAAAAATCGCGTACGCCACTGTGTACAATTGGAAATTTCTGGTTTGAATTTATTTAAACTATACATTTGACCATATTTTAAAAAATATAAATACCAAGTTTGTTCAGTTAATTAGTTTCCGAAAAAAAAACCCGATAAATTCCCTCCAAAACAATATGTACATTTAATGAATCTTAATGGCATCATTGATCAATGGAATTTCCTTATTAATTAAAACTAACTAACTAAACTAACAATAGATAATTATTGATCTAAAAATGAGGAAAGATGTTTATAAATATTGATGGAATCATTTTTTTGTTAAACTTCTAAAACACTTATTAAAATTATGATGCGTAGGTACTCGATATTCCTGAATCCATGCTTTGCCCTAATTTACAAGGCTATTATTTATAGCTGATTATAATAAACGTGGCTTTAGAACACGCGGTCGTGTATGTGAGAACAATATTAAATTACTAAACTTGAAACCTTAGAAAAGCTCATTTAGGTATAAAATACTTAACATCATATGGTTTCAGTTTACATCATTATTCCTTGGTATCAAATAAAGATCAATTAAATCAAAAGAATATGTCAACTCTAGTCATTCGTCGGTACTTACTTGATTAAAAAATTCTTGAAAAAACAACTTAAGGGCACTGACTCACTGTTATAACCAAAGACAAACAAAAAACCGCAACATTACATGAGAAATGTGCTTCAATACTCGAGTTGCCATATTATTAAACAACAGAATGAAAGAGTCATGCGCCGCTCCGCCAAATCGGCAAAATTAGAAATCAACTGATTCATAAAACTTATTGTCTCCTTGGAATTCACTAGAAAGAGAAGTGTCCAACTCGACAATAAGGCGTTAATGTTGTATTGTTCTTTAAGACTGCACTGGACCGATGTAATAAACTGTTTGAAATCGAACCAGCTGAACAGATACAGGAAGCGCTAATATTTCCCTTTTAATATCGAGAGTAGAAATCTGTTTACCTTTGACGTGTACTAAGCCGAATAGAGATGGCAGCACCGTACAAAAAATTCTGTATGTTTTCTGTTACATTCGTTTAACTCTTTGACAACAGAGTGCACTTTTTAGTTCAGAAATAATTGAAATTATTTTTTTTATATAAGCCGATTTTTATACACTAAAGAAATATTAGATTATTTTAGAATCTTTTTAAAAATAAATAAATCTATCTCAATATAATATATCTTTGTGTACTTTAACCATATCTTGCATTAATTATGAATCCCAATATGACATTGATTTTATCTTTCTTTTTGTTAAATACTAATCAATGCTGATTTTTACTAAACAAACTGTCCAAAAGAAGCATACCTATTTCATTAAAACGATATTATTTAACCTTCCAGTACACGCGTAAAAGGACGCAGTAGCCAGTGGTCTACGAAAACTGGGAATACAGCAATGGGAAATAGCTTCCTAGGACCGACAACAATGAACCCTTTTAAAATAATACCAAATCAATATTGTGGCTGATTGTTTTAGTTGTAGTATTTCTTCCTGTTTATTGTTTTATTCTTGTCGATATTTTTTAGTTGAAACAAGTTCTTCCTATTGTTTAACTATTATTTGTGTTACCCCGTTATCTTTTTGTTCCCACTAATCCTTTTTTATTACCCTAGATATTTCATTGCGCAGCTCGTTTAGTTCTTATTTGTTTATGATTGAAAAAATTCTAAAACTGAAAGTTCTTGACATGAAAAGTGAGTAACTTTCGTAAGAACTATGACCCTATTTATAATATCTTATTTAATATTTAAAACAATGCAATAAATCTAGATTTATGAAAAACAAATAAAATTATGAATCAACGTTAAGAACAGTTATCATTGTTCATAAAAAGTGGAGTAGGTAAGAGATAGTGATGAGTTTTAATTCATCGTGATGAATCAAATTGTTTTATCAACGAAGCTAGTATTTTCTGAAACAAGTAAATAAAAATATAATATGATAATGCATAAAATTCCGCTGACATTATTATGACAATAACAGTGTGGCTACTCTAAACGCGGTTAAAGACACTAACATACTACTCGTATAAAATTTGTTATAATAATTAGACTTAGACAAATATCAAAAAAAAAGTGAAAGATATGCATAAATGTGTACTAATTTACCCAAAAATATGCGTTAAATATGCATTTGATTTAGAAAATATGTATTAAATATGCATTTGCTTTAGAAAATATGTATAGGTACTGTCAATGGAAACATATATTTAACAATGATATTATATAACCATTTAATGTTTATTTTAATAATTATAAAACAATATAAATCAATTTAAAAACCAGGTAGGTAATTGTAATGTACTAATGTAATTATAGTAGTAAAAAAGTAAAATACTATTCCTTATGGAAACAACAAGTGACCAAATGTTTTTAAAAAATTTTCCAATAAATCTTATGGCTTATATCTGTGTACATCTTCTTCTTCTAATGGCGCTACAACCCTTTGTGAGTTTTGGCCTGCTTAACAATGTTCTTCCATTCTACCCTGTCGGATACTTTCCTTGGCCTCTGCCTAATGTTCATGGTTTTAAGATCCCTCTCTACGTCGTCGATCTGTTTATTATTGAGCCTAGGTAGGGAAAAGTTGTTTTGCTTATATATTTGTAAATTAAGAAACTTCTTTCCACATCAACGGATGTAATGGGAGCATATTTTAAATACACAAAAATATTTGGTTCTAATTATATTTCTTCACAAAAATTACCAAGAAGGTCAGGTACCTCAGTAAGTTTCTGAAAACCATTGTGTTTTGAATTTGTGTTTTAAATTTTTAAAAAATATCTTTTCCAGTGTCTTCTTCTTCTTCTCGTGCCACTCCTAGCGGAGATTGGAAATCATCATGGCCACTGCGACTTTGTTAGCAGCGCGCCTAAAAAGTTCAATCGAACTACACCCGGACCATTCACGTAGATTACGAAGCCACGATATTTTTCTTCTTCCCACACTTCTTTTGCCCTTAATTTTGTCACTTTAACATTTTGACAAGCTGATTTAATTTCTTTTATTATAAGGCTAACGTTTTCTACCAAGGACTACTTTGATGATTCTAATTGAGTAATAGTTTTTTGAAGCAAACTAAAAATTGATTTAATGAATGAAAGTTGCTGCTGGCAGCGTTGTTTTGAAAGAAAATCTGATGGTCAAATGGTTATTTTATATTTCTGATCTTGGTTTTCCAACAACAAAGCTTCAGCTCATTGATTCTGTACAATTAATTTTCAAACTTTACAAACGTGAAAAAAATTTCAAAAATTTTAAATGAGTGAAAAAAATCTCAAAATTGGTAGACCTGGCCAAAAGTTGTATTCTTGCTTTCTACAAAGACATCCAGAGTTGACACGTAGTGTCGCGAAAAACCTAACCACTGGGAGGTCATCTGTCAATGAAGAAAATTTACGTGGTAGCTGGTTTAGGGATATTAAATTGTAACTTGAGGCGAATAATTATTACAACATTTTTAATGATCCTTAACGAGTATTCAATGCTGATAAGTCGGCTTTTTATATGAATCCTAAAGGAAGCCGAGTTCTTACACACAAGGGAGATACCACTGTCTACAGCTATCTACCAAATGACGAGAAAGAGTGCCTTACTGTTCTTATGAGAGCAAACGCAGCAGGAAACATTGCCCCAGGCATGGTGATGCTTACTTATGAAAGGATTCCACTGGGTATATATGCTTCTATGCCAAAATGTTTTGCAATTGGTAAAACTGAAAGTGTATGGATGACTGCGGAAACTTTCTATAAGTATATAACAAAGGTTTTTTATCCTTGGGCTGTGGAAAATGAAATTGCCTCTTAGTGATTTCTGTACTGAAAGAAAAATTATTCTCATTGCATTGCATCAAAATTCGACAGATATTATGCAGCCGATGGATGTAGCAGTTTTTAGACCCCTAAAAAATTGCTGGAAAAATGAAGTAAACAATTGGAGAATACAAAATAATGGTTCAAAAATGCAGGAGAATGTTGGATCAGTTCTAGCAAAAGCCATAGAGAATTCCATTACTACGAAAATTATATTGAATGGTTTTCGTGCTACCGATTTGTGCTCATTCAACGCCAATGCAATCAACTACTAAAAATATTTATGTCAAATAATATAGAAATTCATAAGTGGAAACAATACCATTTAAAGAAAATGATAGAAAAAGAATTCAAAGAACAGGAAAAGTAAGAGCGAAAACGAAAACGAGACGAAAAGAAGATTCTGAAAGAAAAAAAAAACAAAGCGGAATTACAAGGAAAATTCAGGTGCTGATGAAAAGAAGATTTAAAAAAAAACAAAACGAAATTTCAAGGAAAATTCAGATTCTGAAACATCTCTATCAGATGAGCAATTAAATTTGGAATCATAGTGGTGATGACATTTCAGCTATTGTTCCAACATTCAAAAAATCTCATTGAAAAGAAGGTGACCATGTTATTGTTATTGAAGATCAACACTACCCGGGAAAAATAAAAGAAGTAAAAGAAAATAAGGCGCTTATTAGTGTTATGGTAGAAGAAGACCAGGATCAGGTCGTAGAAGGATAACATCCGAAAGAGATGATCGATTTCTTGTCCCATCATGTTTGAGAAATCGGCATCTAACTTCAGTTGAACTGGCAAATCGTCTGAGCGAAGTGAGAAAGATTTAAGCAGATGTAAAGTTCGTCGACGACTTGTAGAAGGTAATTTGTTATCCAGAAAGCCAGCCCTATCCTCAATACTATCCATAGAACATCGCAACCTTGCTTTTGCAAGAGAACATGAAAACTCGAGTGATGCAGATTGGAGCAATGTATTGTTCTCAGTTGAGTCCAGATTTTGTCTAATGTCACCAGACGACCGAGAAAGAGTTTGGAAAAGACACGGAGAGCGATATTTTCAATGTAATATTGCAAAAAGAATAAGTTATCGGGGGGGCTCCGTTATGGTTTGGGCTGATATCAGTTCAGAAGCCCATACTGATTTAGTTATTGTAGATAGACATTCTATGACTGCTGCAAGATACATAACAAGTATTTTAGATTAGCATTTGGTACCTTTTGCCCCTTTCATTGGACATCATTTTATTTTTATGGACAACAACGCGCGTCCTCACCGTCCTAGAATCGTCAACCAATATATAGAAGAGGTGGGATGTATGAACTGGCCAGCTTGCAGTCCCAATCTCAATCCCATCTATGGGATTTGATGGGAAGACGTCTTCGAGCACGAGTACCCCGTCCAAACAATTTGGCTGAACTTACAGCGGCTCTTCAAGAAATATAGGACCAATTGGATGAATTTGATATTCAGAGGTTAATTACCTCAATGCTTATACGTGTACAGGCTGTTATAAGGGCCCGAGGAAGAAACAATAGATATTGATTTATTATCAATGTTTTTCTTAATTTCAGAAAGTTTTGAATATTCTTGTATTTTTGAGTTTTGGCGTATGTCTCTATAAATAAATGATTTTTTTTGGATAATCTGTAAAATAATTTTACCGTTTTCCTCGCTTAAGACTATTTTTTCATTTATTCATTAGATTTCTTTTGTCATTTCCGTATTTTCCTGTTTAACGTAGTTCAGATTTTAGTTTTTAGTTATACCAAAAGACGAGTAATTGAAAATCCGTGTAATCTTTAATTAATAAACAAATTAATACTCGAAACCCAATTTTCAGACTCGATGGTTTATAACGGCTTCTTGCTTACCGCATATTTTTTAATGCTGCACGGTTAACCGTAGGAGGTAACTCTTGAAATGAGTATTTGTTTACTGTAATGGCGAGAGGGGGTACCCGGAAATCATGAATTCCCCGGTAATGGCT